TATATATATATATATATATATATATATATATATATATATATACACACACAGTATACACATATATTGTGTAAACAAAAACTTTTATTTTGTATGAATATTCATATTTGGATCACGATTAATCATTTTGACAGCACTAATATATATATATATTATAACGGGAAAACCTAAACAATGCCCTCTACCACTTCACAAATCTCTTCTCCTGTTCATAGGTGAAGACAGAAAATATGTCTCCCTTTTAATGAACATTGATAAAGCAACTATTTTGAGCAAATGTTTTGGTAAATAAACCACTACAAATGATGTATGATGTATTGTGTCCATGTAGAAGCCAAACTCTGTGTGCAGTGAGAGCTGTCCTCCAGGCACTAGGAAGGCTACACAGAAAGGAAGACCAGTCTGCTGCTATGACTGTATTTCATGTGCAGAAGGAGAAATCAGTAATGAGACAGGTAAACTTCAGACCATCTCAAAGTACCAAAGAAAATTGGTTAGTTGTTTTTTTCTGTATTTTCCTTTTGCTTTTAAGGATGCAGTTTCTTTTCAAGAGACTCTTTGAATTAAATAATTTCCCTATTGTCTCTAACTATAGTGAACACCACTTCCTTTTCAGATTCAATTAACTGCAAGCAGTGTCCAGGCGAATATTGGTCTAATGCTGAGAAAAATAATTGTGTTTTTAAGGCTATAGAGTTTCTGTCATTCACAGAAGTTATGGGTATAGTGCTAGTCTTTTTCTCACTGTTTGGAGTAGGATTAACCGTGTTGGTGGCCATTCTGTTTTACAGCAAGAAAGACACCCCCATAGTAAAAGCCAACAACTCAGAGCTGAGCTTTCTGTTGCTTTTCTCATTGACTCTTTGTTTTCTCTGTTCACTTACTTTCATCGGTGGGCCCACTGAGTGGTCCTGTATGTTGTGTCACACAGTGTTTGGGATCACTTTTGTCCTCTGTATCTCCTGTGTTCTAGGGAAAACAATAGTTGTGTTAATGGCCTTCAAGGCTACACTTCCAGGAAGTAATGTCATGAAATGGTTTGGGCCTGCACATCAACGACTCAGTGCTCTTGCCTTTACAGTTATACAAGTTCTTATATGTGTGCTTTGGCTAACATTATCTCCTCCTTTACCTCACAAAAACATAAATTATTATAAAGAAAAGATCATTCTTGAGTGCAGTCTGGGTTCTACTATAGGTTTCTCTGCTGTTCTGGGTTATATTGGCCTATTGGCTGTCTTGTGCTTTATTTTGGCTTTTTTGGCTCACACGCTGCCTGATAACTTCAATGAAGCTAAATTCATTACATTCAGTATGCTCATATTCTGTGCTGTATGGATCACATTTATCCCAGCTTATATCAGTTCTCCTGGAAAATTTACTGTAGCTGTGGAGATTTTTGCCATTTTAGCCTCAAGCTTTGGTTTACTATTCTGCATATTTGCACCAAAATGTTATATCATCCTGTGTAAGCCTGAGCAAAATACAAAGCAACATATGATGGGAAAATATCAATTAAAACCCTATTAAGACTTCAAAATACACACATAAAATATATTTAATTAACAAAGGTGCTAAAAACAAAGTGATTCACAGCAGTTCAGTTTTATAACAATCCAATCTATAAAGCTGCTTTGAAATGCTGTGTAATGTGTAAAGCACCAGAGAGTTTATTTGAAACTTGTTTTCTTTCTTTCTTTCTTTTCTTTGAAGAAGATCATTTGCTGAAATGATGGACGAAAGACTTGTAATTTTTGGTTCAGTACATTATAACCACTGGAAAAGTGTCTTCTTGATACCATAAGGAAATAAAGCTATAACTTGCATTAGATCTACACTTGTGCCAGGTAGTTTTTGATTTAAGAGGACTGCTGACTGCAAGAATCATTCAAATTATTCAGAAATTGCAGTCTACATGCTATGGCATTCAAAATCTTTATTATTGTTTTTTTTTTCTATAGCTAGATACATTCTGGAAAGGAGTATCATCCATTTAAATGAACAGATGAAGGTAACTTCCAATGAATGACATTGCAGTTTTTTTTTTCTTGTACACTAAAAGTTGTACTTTATGCACACTCAGTGAAACCATTCATCCATATACCGAATCTTCAGACAAAGTCTGCAAGCACATTATCTGCTTTACAATCAGTTTGCAATTGAAAAACTTTTTTTTTTTTTTTTGCAGAAAACTAAACTCAGTTCTCAACATTAGACACATTATTCAAAACTAACCAATTTTTTGTTTAACGGCCATTTAAATGCCACATTATTTACTGATTACCCACACACAATGATCATGTGTGGAGACATTTATGCATAATTTGTTATCTTAGAAATCAAAACTCAGTGTTTTGAGAAGCAAATACATTTTCACCCTTGCATTTCTGTTTACAGTTTACTTTGTAAATATATACTGTAGGGATGCACCGATACCACTTTTTCCAGTACTCGCCCGATACCGATACTTTTATTTCTGAATCATTTTTGGTTTCAAATTTGTATCAGTTTTACTGGTAGTCCACTGTGTGAAGAATTCTTGTGTATGATTTGTCACAGTTTACTTTATTTTGCTATCCTCACTTACATAAATTAAAAACACGCGCAACGCATTTGTATTACGTATTTGTATACGTATTTGTACTGGTGCAGAAAGAGAGGGACAAGTAGTACAGCCTAGCGCATTTCACACAGGCTGCTAGATTCACTTTCGC